CATTTGATGTTAACTGGCTATTTTATCCATTCATTGATGTAAATTCTTCTTTATGCTGATGCTCTTTACTTTTTGGTATATTTTTAGAAAGGCTCATACTGGTTGTTCCTTTCTATGTATAATGCTTCTTTCAGAAGTTCTTGTAAAGCAGGCCTGGTGGTAATAAAATCTCTGAGTACTTGCTTGTTTATAAAAGATTTTATTTTTCCTTCAATTGTGAAGCTTAGTTTGGCAGGATATGAGATTCTAGGCTGAAAGTTCTGTTCTTTAAGTATGTTGAATATTGGCCCCCACTCTCTTCTGGCTTATAGGGTTTCTGCTGAGAGATCCGATATAAATCTAATAGGCTTCCCTTTATGGGTAACCTGGCCTTTCTCTCTGGCTGCCCTTAGTATTTTCTCCTTCATTTCAATCCTGGTGAATCTAACGATTATGTGCCTTGGGGTTGCTTTTCTTGAGGAATATCTTTGTGGTATTCTCTGTATTACCTGGGGTTGAATAGTGTCCTGCTTTGCTAGATTGGGAAAATTTTCCTGGATAATATCCTGAAAAGTATTTTTCAGCTTGGATTTATTCTCTCCATCACATTCAGGTATACCAATCAAACGTAGATTGGGTCTTTTCACATAGTCCCATATTTCTTGGAGACTTTGCTCATTCCTTTTCATCCTTTTTTCTCTATTCTTGTCTTGTCATTTTATTTCATTAAGTTGGTCTTCGACCTCTGATATCCTTTCTTCTGCTTGATCCATTCTGCTATTTAAACTTGTGCATATTTCACTAAGTTCTCGCATTGTATTTTTCAACTCCGTTAGTTCATTTATATTCCTCTCTATATTGTCTATTCTTTTCGGCATTTTGTCAAACCTTTTTTCAAAGTTCTTAGTTTCTTTACATTGGGTTAGAACAAGTTCTTTTAATTTCCAGGAGTTTCTTATCATCCACCTTCTGAAGCCTACTTCAGATAATGGAACACAGTACTTTTCCATCAGGGCTTGTTCCATTGCTGATAAGGAACTGCAATCCCCTGTAGAGGGAGAGGGGTTCTGATTTTGGATATGCTCGGCCTTCTTAGGCTGTTTTTTTCCCTTTATTATAAATTTATCCATCTGTCGTCTTTACAATTACCGCCTTTCTAATTAGGTTTCTGAGTCGACGTTCAATTTATTGATTCCCAGTGCTGGGATTCAAGCAACCCACTGCGCCGGCCAAAATAGCAGCGATAAGACTGATGGTGCTCTTCTGCCCGGGAATCTCTGGTCTGGCTTCCTTCTTGAGTCCGCAACAAGCGGCTCTGCTTTCCCGGAGCTCCAAACACCAGTCAGTAAGGGAACCAGTCCCGTTTACTCTGCATGAAGACCTGCCGCACCAAGGCACTGGCAAAACTGCTGCGCCAGCCACAAGAGTCGCGCTGGCGACCCATGGGGCTCCTCCACTAGAAATCTGCTGGTCCGTGAGCGATGAAAATTCATCTGAAAGTGTGGCGTCCTGTTGTTCTCTGAGCTTTCACTGGGAGCTACAATCCTGAGCTGTTAGTTATCAGCCATCTTGGATCTCTCAGAATTTGGAGCCTCACAGAATTTTAAGGGTTCCATCACAAGCATCATATTCCCAGTGCTGTTTTTTGGGACACTTTTCAGAATCTCTTTCGTCTCTGAGTGTGGACTGTGAGTTTTGGCGCTCAGTGGAGTGGTTTTTTTCCCTGTTATCCACCTGTTCCTCATGGGGTTCCTGTACCCTTGTCATTGAGTAGTTTGGCACATTATGGCTTCTGCTTTTGATCAAAATGGATAACAATTGAGTGTATTTCATCTCTGAAGAGAGAAGCCTAAGTCAGTAATCTTTTTTATTCACTGAACTCTGAAGAAAAAACTATGAATTCCTAGGACTATTCTTAATTACATTTTTAAAAGTTTTGAAGGTAGATATTAATAGTCTTGTATTTATTTAAAGCAAAAAGCAATCTTACATTTTCTAAAGGAGTATAATTTTCATTGGTTATCTTTTTTTAAAAAAAATCAGTTTAATTAAGCTTTCTTGTTTTCAGATATTTTCTTCTCTTTTATAAGCTGTTTGATATATTAGAGTCAGTGCTATAAAATTATTTGTACAATGCTTTAGACATTTGGTTATAATTTCTTTGTCTGCCAAGCATTTTTTAATAAAGCTAACTTTTGGCTCAAATAGTCTTAAATGTGAAATTTATTAGCCTTGAGATGACCTATGGCCACATATTTTCTTCATTGCATGTCTTATCTGCTAAAGTATTTATTTTATTATGTATGAAATTGATAGCTATAAACTGTGGTGTTTGGCATCAGGGTAAACTGACATACTATTGTACAGATAAACAGTTCAAGTCATTTAAGAACTTTTGGTTATGGAAATTTTCAGACATATATCCAAACAGAACAGTTTGACAAATCCAATTGACCTATTGGCCAACTTCAGCAGCAATCATCTCATGGCCAGTCATATTTGGTCTGTGCCCCAGGGCTCCCCACTACCTCTGGGATCTGTTATTTTGAAGCAAATCCCAGATATTAGATCATTTCCTCCATACACACATAAAATAAGGACTGATTTTTTAAAAAAATTATAATACCATTATCAGATCTGGAAAAAGTTAACAGTAATTCTTTAATTTTATCAGATATCCAGTCAATGTTCAAATTCTTATGGAAGCTTTTTAGACAGTTAGTCTGTTCATATCAGGATTCAGTCAAGGTCTACACATTGCTTTTGGTTGATATGTCTCTTAATTAAGAAAAATAAACCTCTCTTGAGTCACTTTTGGTGCTCAGTGAAGTGGTTGTTTCCCTGTTACCGACCCATCTTTAGCTGAATAAATTGAGTTCTTTGTTCTATAGGTTTGCTCACATTCTGGATTTTTTAGATAGCTTCCTCATGGTGTCATATAACCTGTTCCTCTGTCCCTTGTGTTTTCTATACCTTTCTGGTTAAAAAGGAAGCTTTATCAGTTTGAGGTTTGATTGTATGTTATTTACTTCCATTAGGAGATACCTTATGTTTGGTTGTCTCTGTTTTTGATGGTAAGATTGAAAATTGAATTCGAGCATTACCAGCTTTGTATACCCTTTAAAAGTTCACCATAAACTTTTCACCTAATAGTTGTAGCACCATTGGTAATTGTTTTCATAATCCATTTCTTATTAGAAATTGAAAATAATATTGTTAGCTGGAACACTAAATATGTTAAATTTTTTTCATTAAGATCTGAAGTACAGTTCATTCAGGAGGGGCAGGATAGATGCCTGATTAGTTAACAGTTTTCAGAATGAGTTGGTTTCTTCATATTTTTCAGAGATCATTACTAATTTTTTATTTTTTGATTACCTTTATGAAGTCATGATGTGAGCATAATTTGAGGAGCTTCAGTGTAGGATTTTTTTTTTTTAATATAGTTGCACTCTCTTTGGGGGAGTCTCTTCAAGTGGGTCCTGGGTCCTGATGGTACTGCCTCGCCGTGGGGTGCCGTGTTCCATGCTCTTGGTGGTTTCCTTGCCTCAGTAGAATCAGCCATTGGGAGGAATTTATCAAATATGAAATATGAACATCTTCCTCTCTTTTATTTCTTTCTACGCTGTATCTCTGTCCACCCTATCTACCCCTGGCTTTTTCTAACCCCGTAGCTCTTGTTCAGTCTCACCCCAAAGTTAGTTCTATAGGTGGATTGTCGCAGCAACAGTTAATACTTAGTGCCTCTCATATTCCAGCAGCACCATCACTTGCATTCAGAAGTCAGTGCCAGCTGGACCCACTCCTGCCACGCAGGTGAGAAAGACTGCCTCCCTGCCCTCTATAGTGGTCTCTCCATCAGTGAAGCATTGGGGAAGGTGTACATGTTTCTTCTGTCATATTCTGTATCTGTATCAGGAACTCTGAGAATTTCGACTTCTAAGGTGCTGTGGAAAGCATTAGGGATTTTTTCTCACTTTACCTGATTTTGTTTGTCTAATTACAGAGGGACTGTTTCCAAAACTCATGTACACACTTCACAACTGTGTGCCCTATGCTAAACAGATAGTAACAGATACTTGCATAGATGCTACTGTCTTGGCATCCTCTTCCCCCATCCCAACTATTTTATTTCCTGGTCTTGGCTACATTTGGCATGAATATTAGCCCTGAATGTGTTGTTTTTCTTAAATGGTTCAGTCTGAAGACTTCGTGGGGCATTGGAGGACTTGACTTTCATTTGATCCTTTGGCTTCAGGCCTGCTCTGCAGAGCTGGGGAAGCCTCTGGTGTCTGCACACATGATGACAAAGCTCAGCCAGCTGTGCCACCCAGCTCTGCTGGGCTGGGGCGGCGGGTCCAGTGATAGAACAAGACAAGCTCTGTACATGGGAATATTGAAAGTTGACAACAAGCACTGCAGGTTGGATCATCTTCATGTACGTGTAGCCTAGCTGCCTTACCTCCCCTCCAATGCCACCCCAGAGCTAGGGCCTTAGTTCACAGTTAGAAATGCATATTCTCCTAGCATTAGAAAGAAAGCTGGCCTGCCAGAGCAAAACCACTTGATTAACTTTAATATCTTTGCACTCTGCAGTAAGTTGAGATTTAATGAAACACTTTTAGGATTGTCTTAGTATTTGTATGGGTGGAAGGCACTGGACTAGTGTGGGGTTATAGACAGTTCCAAATTATTCCTTTGAACTGGAAAACTGAAAAGTGTACTTTCCCAGTTATTTATAACATGCATCACAATAGACAGCTGAGGCTCAGATGATTTCCAAATGTTATAGTTGGACTCAGAAACTAAGTCACCATATGCTTTGGTAGTTTAGTCGCTGGTTAACGGAATCTGAGGGATTAAATCACAATGGTGAACCTAAGGACAGACATGTTTTCTAAAAGAAACCCCTGGAAGCCACTTGTGCCTACTGCAGACACCCACTGGCTCTGTTTGTCTCTCCTTTGTTATAGGAAATCGTTGTATAATTACAGTCATTCTTAATCCTTGCTCCCTCCCAGGACTGCGATGTGCCCTGTCACCCCAGCACCCTGGAGTCACACTGGCTGCATTCAGCCCTGAACCTGCTGTCTGTGCTCAGGGCATCAAAGCATTATGCCTCCAGCTGTGGTGCCAACATTCTAAGAATTGTAAGGAGAACAGCAGCGATGACAGGATAGAGGAGGAGAACAGAAGACTGTGTGGACAGGACGGAAAGATGTTTAAGAGATGAATTTTTTGGATATATTTTCATTTACCTCCAATGTCCACATTTCCTAACCTACCTTTCTGGTTTTGTTTGCTTGTTTGTTTTTAAATGGCTTTGTTTTTCTTTGTTTCTGGGGTAGGGTGAGGTGGAGTGAGGTGGAAGTAAGTTATAGTTCTTAATGGCCAACTTGGGGCAGGGGAAAAGTAATTCTTAGAGTGGAGCTGAAAAATGTGTATTCCAAGTGTTCTTGCTCTTACATCATAACAATGCTATAAATTGGTTTCTGGCATGATATTCAATAAAAGCCAGTACCTTCTTAGTGTCATCAAAAGCAACATAATTCAAATGCCTTTATTGTGGCTAGAACTGAAAGAAAAGTTTTGAGAACTGTTCATTTAGAATGAAGCCACCAGTACCTAATGTATTCTTTTAAGCTGTTTGCATGTACTGATCTGGTCACTGGCTTCTGGAACTTCATTGAGAACACCTTCAAGGACTCCTCTGCCCTCAGAGGGCCCTGCCTCCCTCTCTCCCTTCCGACTCTGCCCTGCTCCCCTCCTCCTGACACATCACAGGGCCTGACCCAGGGTGCCTGCTGGTTCTCTGTCCTTTGGGCTCCTCCCCCACACATCTGCCTGTGGTGTGTGCACCTCCCCTGGCCTCTGTGTCCCTTGGGCTTCTCCCACAGATGTCTTTCCCAGGTGTGACCCCCTTGGGCTCCCTGGAGCCCCTGGAGCAGCTGTGTCTTCACAGCCCTCACCTTGCAGCTCCTAAGAAAACCTCCCATGCACATCAGCGGCTCAGAACCATGTGCTTGGGACATGGGAAAGTGGGAGCAGCACATGGATTTACTCATTTTAGTAGAAAATGAACATCTGATAGAATTTGTTAAGAAAGTTAAACCACAGAGCAACTCTGTATGTTTCCTGTTTTCTACTTTGAGGTCGGAAATGCCATCTCTGTGACTTTCTCCCAAAACCAGGATAGAGCCTCAGAGATAAAAGGCACTTGGTAAATACCGGGTAATCATGTCCAATTTTCCTAACCATCTTTTCTTGGTAAGCAGCAAAAACTAACCCTAAAATACTTATAGAGCAGCTTAATAGTAATAAATAGTTACTATTTATTCTAAACCTTCAAGGTGGAAAACTTTCGAGTGTTTATTGAAAATGTCTTGAACATTTTCTAAGAGACCACAGTAAAGGGGTAGTTGCTTATCAGCCTGAAAGAGGCTGAGAAGACCTATCACACCCCTTTCTTTTACAGTTGAAGAAACTGAAGTCCAGATGAAATGTCATCTAAGGCCATCAAGAAGCATTTGGTTGACAAAACTGGGACTTCTGCCTCTGCCTCCTATCACTTTACAAAAATATGTTATTTTTTCAGCAAGCTAATCAATGTGTTTAAACTCTACATTGTATAAACAGTCTAAAAATAGTACAATTAGCATAAAAAACTCAGTTTGTGGCTAGATTTTTAAGTGTGTAGAGCAAGAGACATCAACAAAGCAGTTTATGTCTATGGGAGCAAATTAAAGACTGTTGTTAAAATCTTTATGTTGTAGAGGATATTTACTTGGGACATGGATTTTTTTTTAGATCAATTTACTTTAATTTTCTCGTAGTATCACATACTAATCAAAATGTTTGAGTGACAACCAGAGTAAATTCAAAAATTTATCTGAAAGCGCATTTTTCTTTTTTTGAAATTGCTATCATTTCTGCTTGCAAATGGTGTGAGTCTGTGATTACAGTAATAAGGACTAAGAATTCTGCATAGAATGCATATCACTTTTAGCAAGTTTGTATATTGAAGGAATTTAATAAGAGGTTTTACAGAATCACAAAAGCCACCTTCATGGGCTTTACATATGATGGATATGAAAGAAACTAATATTCTTATACTCTATGGTTGGGTTGTATTAATGAAAAGAAAAATTGGTGGGTATGCTTAGACTTTTGTTTCTTCTGATTTTCCTTCTTGATTTGTGCTGTGACTTCTTTGTCATATTCTGCTAAGGAAAACAGGTTCGGCAGCTCCTTTTTGCTTCCCTGGAGTGGGCTGCTTATGGACTCGTGCGCTGTGTGCAGCAGCACTGCACATAAACTGTAAGTGACCATGCGGTGTTCTTGGTGGGGTGTTAGCTCTAGCTTTTCCCCGCAGGGACTGCAGTGCACCCTGAAGATACCACAGGTGCAGTGAGCCAGCTCCATTCCAGGCTGTCACCCAAGAGCATGAGTGTTTATGCCCACCAAAAGACAGGAGCAGCTGTATTCATAACAGCTCTGTTGGAAATACCTGAAAATGGGAACTGGGAAACACAGGGTTGCAGAGTTGGCCTATTTGGTGGTGTTTAAGCATGCGGTGTTGAAAATAAAATGCCAGGCGGCATTTTGCTTTGGTTCATTTTGAAAACCTGATGGATTTATTCAGGTATTTCATTCCGTCCATTTTCAAATTAAAATATTTTATAGTTTAATCATTGTGTCTACATACATTCTTGTATTTTATCTTCACACAGGGGTTAGATGCTTTTTTCCCCATGTAGCAAATTTTTTAAATTTGAAGAATCGGGAAAGGCTATGTAACTTGCTCCAATAAGAGAACTAGGCCCAACTTTTCATCTCCAGTTGTAACTTTTATCACTCTTACCAAGAAACATTCATAGCATACCAGGCATGGGTCAGACTACAGGACTAACAATATGGTGTCATTTTGTTTATCTTCATATTTGCAAATATGGTAGACCCTTGTACAACAGAGAGTTGGGTTGCCAACCTTCTGCACAGTCTAAAATCTTTGTTTAACTTTTGACACCCCCAGAATTTGACTATGAATAGCCTGCTGTTGCCCAGATAACTTACTAATAACACAGTCTGTCAACATGTGTTTTATGTATATACTATATTCTGTATTAAGGTAAGCTAGAGAAAAGAAAATGCTATTAAGGAAATCATAAGAAAGGAAAATATATTGACTCCTCATGAAGTGGAAGTGGATCATCATAAAGGTCTTTATCCTTGTCGTCTTTACATTGAGTAGGCTGAAGAGGAGGAGGAGGAGGATTGGGGTTGGTTTTGCTGTGTCAGGGGCAGCAGAGGCTCAAGAAAACCCACATATGGGTGGACCCATGCAGTTCAAACTCCTGTTGTTCATGGGCCAACTGGAATTGAGTTTGCAAAGTACTGTGGGCCTCAGTCTCAGGTGCCTTTAACAGAGCTGAGAAGGGGCTCAAGGACCCAAGGACCATGATCTGGTGGCCCTCTCCTGCTGACAGGTGGACAGTAGCTTAACCCAAAGGAGAAGGCAGTGTGTGCATATGCTCCTTGACCTTCTGACCAACACTGACCCATGAGGGAGAGTTTCCAAGTACGGCAAAGTTATTAACAAATGATAAAGATACCAAGAAGAGTAAAGGGGTTGCCCTTATTTTTGGATAAAGGATCTGCACAACAATGTACCAGGCACTAAGCAACAAATTTGGTGGAGTGATGAAAGTAAGTACTGATACTGAAGATGGAAGAACAGCGGAGTAATTGCTAATAAAATCTCTAGAGAAATAATAAGCAATGTGGAATTCAATATTTGAATGAGATTTTCTTATAAAGAGAGAAAGAAACAAAATCCTGTCTATGAAATGAGGCACTGTTCCTGCCCTTGCCTCTCTGAGCCTGTGTGCCTCGATGGTGGCATCCTCTGAGCACACTCTAAGCTGGCATTGCAGCTTTAAAAATGCAGGCTCCTGCAGGCAGGCAGCTTGCCCAGCTCGGGTGGGGTTCAATCCAGACACTCCCATTTAGCCCTGTTCTCTTGGCCTCACCTTCAGTGTCATCAGTCCCAACAGGGTGCAAACCCAGTGCTTTGTGGTTTTAGTCATCTAAACAAATGTGTGGCATGTTCAAAAATTAGTCTTCTTAAAGATGTAAATTTCTACCTAGATTTCTTTTTTCTTTCTTTGTGAGAAAGCTTTTAATGACAAGTTCAATTTTTTTTTATTGTGCTTTAGATTCTGGGGTACATGTGCAGATCATGCAGGATTGTTGCATAGGTACATACATGGCAAGGTTGTTTGTTGCCACCATCTCCCCATCACCTATACCTGACATTTCTCCCCACGTTATTCCTCCCCCACCCTCCCTCCCACTAACCCTCCCATAGCCCCCACAATGGACCCTGGTGTGTGATGCTCCCCTCTTTGCGTCCAAGTGTTATCATTGTTCAACACCTGCCTATGAGTGAGAACATGCAGTGTTTGATTTTCTGTTCTTGTGTCAGTTTGCTGAGAATAATGGTTTCCAGGTTCATCAGTGTTTCTACAAAGAGCACAAACTCAACGTTTTTTATGGCTGCATAGTATTCTATGGTGTATATGCGCCGCATTTTCTTTGTCCAGTCTATCATTGATGGGCATTTGGGTTGGTTCCAGGTCTTTGCTATTGTAAACAGTACCACAATGAACATGTGTGTGCATGTATCTTTATAGTAGAACAATTTATAGTCCTTTGGGTATATACCCAGTAATGGGATTGCTGGGTCAAATGGAATTTCTATTTCTCAATCCTTGAGGACTTGCCACACTGTCTTCCACAATGGTTGCACTAATTTGCACTCCCACCAACAGTATAAAAGTGTTCCTATTTCTCCACATTTTCTCTAGCATGTGTTGTCTCCAGATTTTTAATGATCGCCATTCTAACTGGCATGAGATGGTATCTCAATGTGGTTTTGATTTGCATCTCTCTAATGACCAGTGATGACGAGCATTTTTTTATATGTTTGTTGGCTTCATATATATCTTCTTTTGAAAAGTGTCTGTTTATATCCTTCACCCACTTTTGGATTTCTTACTATGTAAATGGTACTTTAAAATCCCAGTTAGCAATTGGCCTTTCATATTTTTTTCTGCCTTCCATTTTATTATGACTCAAAATTGTTTTTTGTTCTCTAAAATGAAGTTTCGCTCTTGTTGCCCAGGCTGGAATGTAATGGTGCAATCTCAGTTCACTGCAGCCTTCGCCTCCTGGGTTCAAGCGATTCTCCTATCTCAGCGTCCTGAGTAGCTGGGATTACAGGTGCCTGCTACTACGCCTGGCTAATTTTTGGTATTTTTAATAGAGACTGAGTTTCACCATGTTGGCCAGGCTGATCTTGAACTCCTGACCTCAGGTGATAAGCCCACCTCGGCCTTCCAAAGTGCTGATATTACAGGTGTGAGTCACCACACCTGGCTGACTCAAAATTTTTTTTAATTTCAAGATGTTTTCTTTGTGTAAGGTTTTATGACTATTCCTTCAATTGTATGTGGAACCCTGTATTAAGAATAGGGACTATCCCCTATTACTTCTTTCCTATGCTCCACAGTAATGATTGCAGTCAAAGGGATGCAGTGGGACGCTCAGCAACAGTCATGGTGCTGCCTGCATTATGCACCATCTCAACTGCTAGGCCATGGCAGGAGCCCTTCCCAGAATTCACTCCTTTAGTCACAGGGACCATGCAGCGAAATAAGGGGCCAGGACCCTAGCCTGCTTCCAGCCCTCTCATAGCATTCATTGGTTTTGATCTCAGCTCATTAAAATCTTTTTTAAAAAGCACCTTCTTGAAATTGTGAAAATCAAACAGTGAATCCAACCCTGTTTATGAAGAAGTAGGTCCAGAAGCAACACCTCACAGTATAAAATAAATTCATTCATCTGCACATGTAGGATGAATCCTATTCTCTTGTCACTTTCACTTTTCAAATTGAAGTTTCCTTGTAATGAAAAAAAAATTCTGACAGAAAACTAAATTGAAACAAATGGTTTAATTTGTCAGTTTATAGTAAGTTAATTTTCTACCTTTATGTCTAAAATTGAGTGTATCAAGTTTGTGAATTGTATTCTATGCTGAATGTATGATGTGTTCTGTAACATCTTATATTAGGATGGATAATTTATGGTCTGTTTTATACATCACACTTTAAATTTTGAAATGGGAGGGGAGAGCTTTTTTCCCCCTTGCTTATTTTGAGTCTTAAAAGCCGTTTCTCTATGAAGTTTATGAATCTAAACTCTTATGAATATAAAGCCTTTCTTACAGAAGGGAAAAAATAAGCCATGTAACCATTTCACTGTTATTTTCACTGTCGGCAATATTTTCTCTTTTCTCAAGGAAAGAATTTTCCTATTCAGATTGATCATATTGATCAATAGGAGATCCTATTGATGAAAGCAATGAAAAACAATATCCTGGGATAGAAAACAGAAAGCTGGAGAGGGTGAAGGTAACCATAGGGGTGCTACATAGGGAGAGTGTTCTTTCCTCAAATAGTCATTGGAAAAATCCACTGTATGGCAAAAGACATTTATCAATTTGGGAATGAGTGCACTAAAACCTGAAGAAGACCTGGAAATTAAAACTCTTTCTTTATTCCAACAAGAGCTGATTTTGCTGCAGAGTAGTTAGGACTTCCTCTCTGTTCTACTAATAATGATATAGTTTCTGGTTACCTTTTCTTTTAAAATTAGGCAGTAATTTCGATAATGTGTGTTCAGAGTATAATTGAATAGATAATTTACTTGAAAAAAAATACATCAAAGTTTTTTCATGTAGTGTTTCAGTTTGACAATAAAAAAAGTACATTGTGGGATATTTATAGTATTTTTCAATCTATTTTTACCAGCAGACTGGGAGTGATAACTGATTTGGGGCATACGGGTTAAAAACAGGAAATGTGGTTTATATAGTCGGTAGTGTCTCCAGAGTTTCCAGGGTTGATTTCGTATAGTATTGTCTGAAGAGTGTTATGTATCAAAACAACGTTAGGCTGAGTACCTTGAAATCCGCCTATGTTTACAGGAGCCGTCTTTCCAATTATGACAGGAAATGCTTCATGGAAAAGTTTGCATTCTTGATATGGGTTCAGATGGCATAGCAGTTGTTTTCTGTAATTACACCATGTTCTTCCTCTCTTAACACTTTTCAGATGCTCTTTATACCGTCAGCGTAGATCTTGTGTAACTTTGAGTAAATTTCCTTTGATTTTTGTATTTTGCTTAAAATTTTATTTATTTTCATGAAAAGTTTTGTCAAATAGCTGTTTAAGAATGTTTTAAAATAGACTATCATAGCTAAGGAGGAGCATATATTAGGGATATTATCAATTATAGTAATCAAAGAATCCAAGTTAAGAGAATAAAAAGGCATGAAGAAATAGGAATATTATTTTGTGGGGCCTTTTGCATGCTAGGTTGGCAGAATCCATGAAAAGTGCATAGCTTGAATACCTTTCCACTCAGCAATTCTAGTGGAGGAGGCCTGTGCGTAGTAGGGCATATGCGAAATCTCTGCACCTTCTGCTCAGTTTTACTAAATTCTTACATAAACTGTTCTATTAGAATGACAGAATCTATGTTCATTGCATTATTTATGGTAGTAAATAAAAGGCAACCTAAGTGTTCCATAGTGGGAGAATGGTCAAATAGATGATGATACATCCATGCTAGAATACTAAGCAGCCATTGAAAATTAGAAGGTAGATACATATGCATTGAAGATTAAAAAATGAGTCAAAGACCTTAACAGACAGCTTACCAAGGTAAATATGCAGATGGAAAATAAGCATATGAAAAGATGTTCAACAGTGTGTGTGACATTACGGAATTGAAAATTAAAACACTGCATGCCTATTAAAATGGCCAAATCCAGAACATGGAAAACACAAAATGCTGGTGAAAATGTGGAGCACCGGGATCTCTCCTTCATTGCTGGTGGGACTGCAGAATTACCCAGCCACTTTGGAAGACAGTTTGGCAGTCTCTTTTGAAACTAAACATCCTCTTACCATATAATCCATGAATGGCACTATTCAGCATTTAGCGAAAGGAGTGGAAAAGTTGCCATCCACGCAAAAACCTGCACACCAATGCTCCTAGCAGTCTTATTCATAATTGTCAAAACTTGGAAGCAACCAAGTAATCCTTCGGTAAGTGAATGTTATGGTCCATCTGGAAAATGAATATTACTCAGCACTAAGATGAAATGAGCAAGATGTGGAAGGAACCTTAAATGCTTATTACTAAGTGAAATAAAATAAACTGAAAAGGATTCATATTATGTGATTCTAACTATATGATATTCTGGAAGAGGAGACACTGAAGACAGGAAAAGATCAGTGGTTGTCAGGTTATTGGGGAAGGAGGGAGCACAGAAGATTTTTAGGGCACTGAAACTACTCTGTGCGTTACTATAATGGTTGGTACCTGTCATTATACATTTGTCCAAACCCATAACATGAACACCACCAAAAGTGACCCCGAATGTAAATTGTGGACTTTGGGTAATAATGACACATACCAGTGTAGGTCCATCAACTATAACAGATGCACCACTCTGGTGGGGGTGTTGACAGTCAGGGAGGCCTGTGCGTATGTGGTAGGGCAGGTGGGGGGCATATGCGAAATCTCTGCACCTTCTGCTCAGTTTTGCTGTGAACCTAAAACTGCTCTAAAAAGTAAAGTCAACTAAAAATTGTTACCGATTACAGAATGAGATTTAGCAAGTTTCAAGAAGAGAATGTGTAACATCTCATTTTTTAGGAAAAAATTATATTCATAGGAAAAGATCTGGAAGAACATACACTAACCTGTCAATAGTGGTTATTCTTGAGAAGGATGAAAGAGGATTTATTGGGCTTTTATTATTACAGAATAATAATAAACTGTGTTTCTTTACAATGAGCACTTGATTACTTAATTTTCTAAATAAAAAATTAAAGACTTGGTCAGTCCAAAATGTTCAATATTTTATTTTTTAATGTGGACCTTCTCTATTGAGGTTTCACCAAATTATTAAGAAGAAGAAGAATCCTGTCTGCCTGCAGAACACTTTTTATTTTACAAAACATTTTCCTATACCCTAAAGAAAATAAAAAGCTTAAATTAACTGATTCTAAGATTTAAATCCAGGTCATTCCAATACACAGCTGTACATTATCTGTTATCAGTTATTGCTAGGCACTTTCTTGAGATGAAGGAACACTAGCATCTACATGTAAAAAACATCATTTTTTCGTAAATGACACTGAGGATTCTCATCAAGCAGAAGCTCTCTCTTTGCCATGTGAGCTTTATCGTTTGCCTGAACAATTGTATTTCATGCAGTTGCTTTCTTGCACTATTTAAAGACAATGTAAGGTTCTTCTGTCCCATGTGCAAGATGATCATTTGTTGTATTCAGCCTGGTGTGTCCCTACTAGAGTGCAAGCCCTGTGAGTCGAGGGGCTACGTGTGTGTGTACGTGTGCGCATGTGTGTAGTCACAGCGATATCCCCAGTTCCTGGAATAGTGTCCCACATGTAATACTAATGGACACTCGGTATTTTTAATAGTGTGCCTGTTTGCCTGTTCCAAAATCAAGTGACCTCCTTATATGATTAAAAGAGGAAACTGACAAATATACCAAGAAAGAAGGCTGCCCTTCTATTTTGATGCATGAAAACAAGATGTTCATTGTTGGAGAAGATGCTGGGTTATACTAGCTGGTTTACAGGAAACAGCCTACAAGTTCTTGCTCAGTAGAGATGAGCCTTGTTTGCTCCATGGGGAATTTCCACACTGGGCTACTAGATTAATTGCTAAGTGGTAGTCTAGGTTGATACTGTGTGGGTGGGGACACTTTTTGTCAAATATCATGACACATTCTAATTTCATATTCAGACAGTGGAGGAGATGCATGTTGTAAATGCTTAGAAGCTGTTTCTCATTCCCTCACTTACATAACATGGAAAGTTGTGGGGGTTTATCGAAGGGAACCTTTTTAAAAACAATACTTATTACTGCACCATAATAATGTAGTCTTTAACTCCATTGAGCAAATCAGTTTGCCTTATTTTTCTTTGCACAGGTCCACATTGATGATCCCTTCCCTAATACTGTGTGCACCATAAATTTGGCATTGTATGGCCCACTATTTTTGGAGCACAAACTAAAGCTCAGGTTTCCTTACACACTTAAGTGTTCACTCTGTCCTAATACATCCAGGCATCTTCCTAATATCCAGCATTGGGGAACATTCAGCAAAGACTTAATGGCATTATTTGGAATAAGCCATGAGCTTAAGTATATTGCTGGAAAAATAAAGCATATATATTAAGCAAGCAAATAGATTAAGGCTTAGTAATATTCTGTACTACTGTACTTACTTTATCAAATTGTATTTTTCAAATGGATCCTGATGCTTAATCTCAAAAGGACTGTCTTTGTTTTCCAAAATCCTATGAGAAGCGAGAGACTATGTTTTCCCAACGAATACCTTTTTCTCACATATACTGTTGCCTTTTTAGTAGATGACTTAGGTGTCTTCTGACTTGAGCATTGTAGAATTCTACATATATTTAGGTTTTTCTCTGATGTATTTATACCCGCATTCACTTATCAACTGTGTAAGTCTTTAGGACTTAGTAGTGAGCAAGGCAGACATGGTCTTTGTCTTCCTTTGTTTGTCATTCATGGATATGAACATCTGTGTACTATCTATGTGCCAACCTCTGTGATGGGAGCTGAGGCTACAATGAGGAGAATGGCAGATCATCCCTGTGCTGTGGAGTGTACAGTCCAGTAGGGGAGACAGTTGTTAATTGAATGATGACACAGATAACTGCAGAGCTTGCAGAGCTGTCCCAGTTGGAACAGGGACAAACAGTGCCAGAGAGGACAAGGTTGGTCAAGGCAGTACCTAGGAATGCAGAATGGGGTGGGGAGGGGATGTCCTAACACCTCCCATTTGTTGACTGCCTGCTCTCTGGCGGATGTCTCCCTAACCTCTTAAAAACATTATTCCACTTAATAAGTGTTGTCTCTGTTTTATAAAGGAGAAAGCTGCAAGTCAGAGCAGTTCAGAAACTTGACCTGGGTGACTGCTCAATAAGTAACATGAGTGTCTGAGGCCCAGTCTAATTCTGCCTCTGTCCCCGGTCTCTTCACGCAGGCCATGGCTCAGACGTCACCACAGGAACCAAGTCTTCCCCAGCCACCACTGGCATTTGACATTCAGCCCTACTCAACACCAGTACAAAATATGGCAAAAGAGTTGAATTAAAATTCTAACTTCCAGGACTTTGTCTGAAATCAGCGAAATGAGAGTACTGTCAACGACAAATGTTTTCCGTTCCAGCAGATCACAGCCATATTTCATGTGTTTTTTTGCTGTTGTTGTGTTCCAATATGCAAACTTAACTATTACGCCATTTCTTGTAACCACTCAAAGGAATTAATGTACAACTAGGATTTGCAGCAGCTAAATGACAGTCATGGCAGGACCATTGTCCAAACTTATATACTGGTGTTTCAGAAAGAGAAATTAGCATGATTTTCCTAGTCATTATGCTTTTTAGTCAACTGTTATGTCTTTAATTTTAAAATAACACCTGAAATATGTGAACTACTTTAGAATTGACAGGATGCTCCTCCTCACTAAAATGTCAGCTCTCTTAGGGTACAGGGTCCTGTCTGTTTTGCTCACTTTCTTATATCACCACCTGGTGGTGCCTGGCACGTGATAGATGCACAGCACGTGTTGGAAGAATGAGGGAATTGCACACATGTGACATTTTCATAACAGCTTTGTTAGCAAAACGGATCTCATGATCTTTTCGCAGAGTAGGCAGTTGTCTGAAAGGTAAGCTGAGTTGCAGGTCACACGATTGGCATATAGATTAGCCAGAAAATTCCATCTGAAGTGTTCCTCCTGTCATATCAATAAACTTGAAAGGAATTATCAACTACTAACATTAATAATAGTGAAAGGGGAATAACATTCAGTGGGACAGGAACATACACCACCAAAATGAATTGCAGTGTGGTCCCTCTGTCACCATCACAGGCCTTGTGAAAAAAGTTCCATCACCAAAACTCAGATTCTGGGCCTGCCCCAGGAGCCAGAATGGAAGTCCTTTAAAACTCATCCCACACCCACATATTGTTTTGCCACCACTGTGAGGCTTCAGCTGCTTCCATAGATGCACGCACAGCCCCTCTCTGAATGGCCTCTGCCTTACCTTCACCATCTAATCTCCCATTGAAAGAAGAGACTGCAAGGCCACGGCCTCTGCCTGGTCTGGGTCTCCTCTCAGCGTTTGGATGTCCATGCCTTTGCCCTGGCTCCCAGCACCACCCTCTTCCCAGTCAGGAAAGCACATGGCTGTTGCTTGCCAGTGGTGTTGACCGTCAGAGCTGCATGGAATCAGCAAGCCAGGCCACCCCAGCGCCTGTCCCAACACTGGCTTTTTTGGGCACAGGTGTTTGAAAGAGCTAACATCCTCCCACAGACAGATTTTGGATAACATTTGAAAAGAGACAACAAGTGATTGGAAGTGAGCACTTTACGGAAGTAAAAGTCTTGCTTGGACGCAAGAGCCCGTGGAACAGGCTGGGGAGGACGACGAGGGTGTGGTGTGCTGCTCAACTGGTCTCCCTAGGCCAATACCCAACTGTGGCCAGAGTGAAGAGAGAAAGGAAGTGAAATTCTGAATGGAGAAGACCACAGAGATCTTACTGGTTTCCCAGACACGGACACCGTCTAGCATCTGCAGCAGGCCCTTTGCCCTTTCTCCGTTCCTATCCAGATACTATCCTTTAACTATTTAAGGACTTCACAAAATAAATATAGCAACCAAACATTTAACAAGTTGTTTTAAATTGGAGTACAATTTTTTTTCTTATGGTTTTTGTGGGTTCATAGTAGGTGTATACATTTACTTAAACAGGCTTGCAAATGCATAATAATCACATCAGGGGTAAATGGGACAGATTTTTTTAAATTGTAAAATTCTTTCATGTGACCATCCTGCATATATTGGCAGGTCACACTTGTAATAACTAAGGTCTTACACATATTGAAGATTTATACCTGTTCTACTTGGAGCACTGTATGCCTGAGCACCTCTGCCCTGTGCCGAGTGGCATCCTCCATGTAGTAGGATCTCAATAAATTTATGTTAATTGAGTGTATGAGAACTTTTAGCCATTGCCTTAGATTTAACAATTTCAGCCCAATAGGTAATTAAAAAAAAAAAAAAAGTACTTGCTTCTGCATTTAACTCAGTGATTAGCTTTTTGGAGAGAGACAATGATTTATTTTTATATTAAAGTTTTTGTTACCAAAAATTGTAATACCAGCACAGGCACTTGGGAAGTTATGATAGCAGCTCACTGAGCTCCGCCTCACGCCCGCCCTTTCTGATGTGTCCAGTGGCATACGTCCCTTTGAACCTCACTAGCCTGACGTGTGGTTTGCATAGCGGCACCATTTCCTATCCATCCCAGGACCATACATTTTTCCCTTCTGTTTCCAGCATTACCAGTTATTTGTATAAAGCAGTTATTTGTTTTCTGTGTGTGTGTGTGTGAGGGGAAGGAAGGCAATTATTTCCATTTTTCCAATCAAAAAGATAGCACTAAAAAACACAACAGTTATTTCTTGTCCAAGGTTAAGCCTGTGAGCTCCTTATTATCCATGTGAAACCTGTGGTCAACCCAAAATAGGAAGCTTGCTTCCTTTTTTTTTTCCAAATTTTCTGTCCACAAAAATATGGTTCTTTTGGTTCAAAGTGCCCTGTGGCTTTATTCTTCCCATTCATAGCTTTGTCTTCAGAATTGCATTGAGTAATTTACACTTAATCTCTTTTATGGGCTGTCTTGCTAGTAATGCTTAGGCTGGTGGGTTCTTGCCAGGAAGTGTTTATGCTGTTGGGGTCTGAGTGGGAGTTGAGTTTACAGCAG